TCCGTAAAGGGATATCTTCCTTTTTTTTAAATTCAGTATCGACGCATTAAGTATCTTTTATATATGAGAAATACTATAAATGCTAGGTTCGGATGCGAGAATTCTGTTCGTTTTGTAGTATAGTTATGTCCCTATCCTTTTTCTTAAAGCTAAATAAGAATAATAGAATAAGCTGAAGGACACACCCAAATGACCTCCCACCTAATTACCGTATTACAAGAATACGCTGGACATTATACCCAGTGCCCACTGGATGATCGGTTGAGTTCATTTCTGTTCGGTCCGGTTCGATTTCTGGCGGCTTTAGTGCACACTATAAATAGACCCTTGCCCCTAAACGATCGCGAGACAGGCGGCCATACATTTACTGTCCTTAAAGGTCATCGTCTGTTTCGTTCAGTTCGTGATACGATGATACCTTTTCTCCATCCATGGAAGAAAATCTGACTAGCCCCGACAACTGAAACGAACCAAACTAATGGGTATCGGGTATAACTGTGAGCGAAAGATCACTAACTACTCAGCCAATGGAGCCGCTATTGTTTTGGGTTGTTGTTGTTTTTTTTAAGTGACGCAAAGGACGGGGCCAAAAGAATTATGTATAATATGTGAGGCAGCGTGGTGGAAACAGGCTCTTGTCAGTTTTTGGGCATGTAGAGTTATTGGTATCATCTTAAAGCTTATTCACTTGTCTTTATTTGGATGGAAAAAAATATCCATTTATCTTGAATACAAGTCGAGATATTTGCGAAAGAAGGAGGTGGAGGTCACCTGTTTTCAGAGGTAAAATTAATGAGAAAATGACCGTCAAAGATTAGTTATTTCCTTAGCTTAAGAGTCCGTGGTAATTGAAAATTTACATTTTGTGCCTTTAATCAACGCTTTCCAGAAAAATCCACAGAGAAATGAGTTCTTTAATGGCCTTGAAAGGTGATGAGCCAAAAAGCAAAAATTTGATAAAAGTTCACAAACCTGCTGAAAAATGCAAGTTTCTTCACTTTAATTATTTCGACGAGGACCTGATTCCACCGCGCTGCCTCACATATGGATTATATAAAAGCAATGAAAAGATTACACAACGTGGCTTCGTCGCTTTATATCATCTTTCTATCTGAGCTCAGTGGATATTCATTGTAAAGCACGAAAGATCAGATTTCTCTCGATTGTCCCGATGATGGCTCATTGTATTGGTGTTTCACAACACTTACACACACACACACACACACACACACACACACACACACACC